TTTTATTACACATGGGTAGAAAAATAGTCTTCTACCTCATGATAGGAAGTAGATTTTGGCCAAGAAGGCCAATGGCATCCTGGGGGGCATCAGGAAGAGCATGGGCAGCAGGTGGAGGGAGGTCATCCTGCCCTTCTGCTTTGCCCTGGGGAGGCCCCATCTGGAGCACTGGGTCCAGTTCTGGGCTCCCCAGTTCCAGAAGGACAGGGAACTGCTGGAGAGGGGACAGCAGAGGCTACAAAGATGATGAGGGGCCTGGAGCATCTCCCTTACAAGGAGAGGCTGAGGGACTTGGGTCTTTTTAGTCTGGAAAAGAGAAGGCTGAGGGGGGATCTGATCAACACCTATAAATACTGAAAGGGTGGGTGTCAGGAGGATGGGGCCAGTCTGTTTTCAGTGGTGCCCAGGGACAGGACAAGAGAAAATGGGCACAAACTTGAATATTAGAAGTTCCACCTAAACACGAGGAGGAACTTCTTTCCTGTGAGGGTGGCAGAGCCCTGGAAGAGGCTGCCCAGGGAGGTGGAGTCTCCTTCTCTGGAGACATTCAAACCCACCTGGACATGTTCCTGTGGGACCTGCTCTGGGTGGGACTTGCTTTGGCAGGGGGTTGGACTAGATGATCTCCAGAGGTCCCTTCCAACCCCGCGTGATTCTGTAAATAGAGTCTCTGATCATCTCACCAGGGTAACACGTCCAGAGCAGGGTACCTGCAGGAAGTGGTGACAAAAAAGTTGCTTGAACTTTAAATTACCGAGACTCCCAAAAAGCGACCGCAAGAACCCAGAGCTGAAACCATCAGCCAAATAAACCCACACAGCATCGTAAACTGTGAACGTCTGTTTTCACCCCAAAGTGAGCTGGGCAGCAGAATTTTCAGCTTGTCCATAAAAATACATTATTTACAAGGCAAAAATATAGATTCTTTATGGATCTGTCTACAAAGAGGGTCTGTTGCAATAAGCTTGTTTGAGATGGTGCTTAATTGGAATGATATTGATGTAAGTTCTGCATCACCACGGAAAATCCGTAGAAAAATAAGACCACAAAAAAAAAAAAGGCCAAAATTTCTTCCTTTAGACTATATGCTAATCCTTATGATTGATGAAAACTGGAAGCTTTCTCAGGGTAACGGTGCTTCATTGGCTGCATCTCGCTCCGTTGGTAAAAAATAAAGTGTTAGTTGGGTCCTTGTCACCTTCTCACCCAAGTTTCAAGTCACATTCTCAGGTGTGACTCTGCGTCAGGGAGTTTGGCCGCAAACTCAATAAGCCCCACAAATGCTTTTACTGAGCTAAGCTGCTGAGAAATGTATTCATGAAAAAAAAAACAAATAATAAACAACCCTGAGTTTTGGATCTGACCTATTTGACAGTTTCACTTTCCACCGAACAGCTGAGCAGGATTTTTTAATTTCTCTACTTGCAAACACCCATTTTTCTGGAGGCGGAACAGCGCAGTTAGTGGTTCAGTGCCTGACATTAGTTTCAACTTTTATTAAAAATTAGACTAGAAAAGCCTAATTAATAAACCATAGCTGACTGGAGCTAGCTTTTGCTGTCCCACTCCCACAGCCATCTTGAGAGGGAAGAAAATATCAAATCACTCATTGAGATACTGCCTTAACATTTTTCGTGCTGCATTAAAATTAAGCGGAACTTAAAATCAGCAAAAAATGTCAGTTTCTCAGCACTCGCAAATTTTATTTGTAGCTGGTGTTATTGCCCTTCTAGTCAAGGTACCTCACCTAATATTGCCTTTCTTCTTTATTTGTGAAGTTGGGGATACTTCAAACTTTTCCAGAGACACCGGAAAACATCTTCAGGTACTTCAGATGGAAGAAAGGTGATTTCATCTATTAACAGCAGTAGGATATTCCCCCCCCCACAACTTGCAGCATCACTATTTTTGCTCCAAGAAAACAGCGAGTGTTCCCCAGTGCTTCATCTGGTCCCCCCCAAATCACAAAGACACCTGGATGCGAAGCTGTGAAGACCTGGTGGTCACCTGCCTTGAACTTCTCATCACATCTTACAGCGAGGAACCGGACTGTCTGTAAACCCAGAAACGAGGCAAAACACTCAGAAATTGGGAACTGGAGGAGCATCTGGGACACAGTTCAGGGATGTGATTTAGGGATGGGGTTTTTTTGGTGGCGTCAGGTTGATGGTTGGACTCGGTGGTCTCCAAGGTCCCTTCCCACCCGAGAGGATTCCATGATTCTATGATATTCGATGCTCTACTTTGAGCCCAGCCCCGCATTGCAGTGTCCCCACCAGCTCTCCCTCTCCCGGGAAGGGCCGGGGGGGGAACACGGGGCCCCGACAACCAGCGGGGAGGTGGCGGCCTCCCGCGGCCGGAGGCAGGAGGACAGGGAGGACCCAACACTCGGATTTTGTAGCTTTTTTTTTAAGGTTTTGTGGATTTCATCAGGGCACTTGACACAGGCAGGAAAGCAATCCCTTCCCCACCCAGGCTGGACATCCCAGGGACAAACCAAGACCGGTGAAAATTCCACCAACATCAGCAATCTCCACTCAAAATAAAAAAGCTTGACCTCAAAATGCATGAAAAGGGCTGCACCTCAAGCTTCCTCCCTTTGGATGAAGTATTAAATTCTTCTGAATATTCTGTTTGAGTACCAGGTCCCTTAGCACTGCAGATTATAATAGGTTACACAACCCGAAGTGATCACAGATGGACACTTTTCCATCTTCAAGAGACACGTGAATAGTCATTAATGCTTCCCAATTCCCTGTTCTGGTTAACGAACCATTCGGAATGTGCAGCAAGTAATAAAATACTGCCCAGAGCAATCTGGGAAACCCTCTCCTCCACCTGCCAAAAATCCTTTAAAAGTTACTAAATACTGACATACAAAAACCACACTTCACCTCTCTTACCTAATACGAGGCCTCAAGGCTTTAAAATTACACTTGACCTTAAAACCTAGTATTTCATGTAATTTAATGGAAATCCAGTAGGAAAGGTGGAAGTTTACCTCTAGGACTCGGGGAAACACTAACGTGCTCATTGTGAGAAAAAGAAAGCAATTTATTTATAGCAAATAAACACAGGACAGCACAAGGCTGGACAGAAACCTGCCAGAAATGAAATTAAATGGGCATATTCAAATCACAGCTGGGTTTTCTGTCCCCAATTCAGAACAATTCAGAAGCAGGCACCTGTCAAATGCCAAAGGGTTTTTGCAATCTGTGATCCATTGATCTTTCATTGATCATCCACAGTCTTGTGCATAAGTCTTCTACAAAAAGCAACAAGTAGAAGATGCGCTGGGTGGGGGAAATAGCTTAATTAGAACAAACGTGTCCTTAGGATATGAGGGAAAGGCATTTCAGGATAATTTAAGGGATGCAGAATGGTTATTTTTAAAATTAAGTCTAAATTATTGGATATTTACCATTTCAACAGAGACCAAATAGAAAATTATGGTTGTTAACTGAGTGAAAAAAGCAGATAAAGCCCTTTTACAACAAAGGCTTTCATTTCACTCCTAGGCCAGTTCCTCTGCTGCCATATCTTACACTTTCATTTCCCCCATTCATTTTGGATATGATGCACATACACAGGCAGGACACGATACCCTCCACATCTGTGAACAGGCTACATTCTGTAATTAAACCAGTGAGCCCCATTATAGGTCAGAGCAGATGCCCAGAACCAGGCTACTTAAGATGATTTTGTCAGTGTTTCCAAAAACCTGACCCGATATGTTATAAATGTGCACACACAAAACCTTCTGACGCTGCCAGAATTGGGCCATCACGAAATTGGATGAGCATCAGACAGTATACTTAAAAAAAAAAAAAAAAAAAAAAAAAAAAACACCCCCCAAAAAAAAAAAAAAAAAAAAAAAAGACATCACGAAATTGGATGAGCATCAGACAGTATACTTAAAAAAAAAAAAAAAAAAAAAAGAAAGACACATCCCCCAAGCAAAAGAGCTGGTATTTATTTAGGCATGCATTACTGTGCTTGGGAATTAAGGATCATGATTTCTAAAAATAAATAATCAGAAAGCAGCTCTGATGCAGCCAGCCATTTTTATACTGAAGTGCAAAGGCCAGTGCTCTCACGCAACCACTTCTGAGCACGGCTGTGGAAGCGCCAGCATATGTAATATTTCTCAAAATATTATTACAGTAAGAAGCATTTCTTAGCTCTTTCCCCACTTGCTGTTTTCATCCACGCAGAACTACAGACTCCATTTGAAGATAAAGGTGCTATGGTCCCAGACAAGGAGACAGAATTTGCCAGTTCTTTACATTTAAAGATGCTTCTGGCAAAAACATGTACAGAGAATGAGGGATCTTCATCCTTGTTTCTCCCCCTACCTTTATTACACAAAACCCGTCTACTTCAAACTGAATAAAGTAAAATTTCAAGAGTTTAGTACCCAATTTGTACACCTTCCCAGCCTTCTCCCAGCTGAAATGTGGATTGTTTGAGTTTTCAGGGGTTCAGAACAAGCTGCCTGCTTTGAAGCATGTGATGCCTGCTCTGCAGATAGACCTCTGTTGGGAAGAAACGAGGAGATAACACATACTGCACTGCTGAGCCAGCAGAAATCTCTGCACCATTCTCTAGCACTGCATACAGGACTGCTTCTGACCATGTTTATCTACTACTGTTTCTGTCTTAAAATAAATTACAGAAAAAAAAATCAAATTTGAATTGACTTCAAGGAGTTTTACCGACAAGTTGGTGTGCACGTGGAGAAGGCAGGCTTAAGTCTCCTGCAGGCTTCAATTACCTGTATGTAATTGCAGATGCTACAACTACTATATGAGAAAATCAGTATCATTGCCAAAAATTAAGAGTACATGAGACATGTACAGAGTTCAGAGTACATGAGACACCCCCTTCTTTTCAGCAACCCCATCCATGTTAAAAAGACCATCATCTAAAGCTCAATATTTACTCCACTATAATATCATAGTCTCCGAAATTGTAGACAAAGAAGTCACAATCAATAAGTATTTAGTCTTAGATCTTTTATGAGCAAAGATGTTTTAATGTGTCACATTTCAAGAGCATCAGTCTTTCTTTACAAGAAAAGAAAAATCACTTCATAGATTTGGAGCTAGAGAGGTCCACAAGACTTTCTGCAAATTAAAAGTGCATGAAATACATGCAGCATCCTTCATACATAAAGTATTTTGCAACTGGGTTGAGAACACAGTAAGTGTTAAACAATACTTAGGAGTTAAAAGTACCTGAAAAGAAATCTCTCCTTGGAGAGAGAGATTAACCAAACATCATCCTGGACAGCTGTGCAAGTTCTCAACAAATGCTTTTCTGTACAAGTGGTTTAAAAATCACACAGTAAGTTCTGGAATATTCAAAACAATGATTTGATAGAACAAACATTCTACAGTTACCTCAATTCCATGTTCTTTTGTTACAAACAGTTATCATGGCCTCAGCCCTGGTGCATTGGTGCTCAAATTCACAGCCCCATCCATGCAACACTATCTGTCTCCAGAGATCAAACTCCAGCTCTTGTACTAAAGCCCAAGTGGATGACTGAATAAATTCAGCAGCTTTTCCAGTCCTGAACCCCTTCCCTCCCGCGTAACTTGACTCAAATTTCAGACAGATTTATCAAAGAGAGGTCATGTATAAACAGCACAGTCAAAAGCTACATCAGATGTAGGAAGACTAGTGGTTTAAAAATGCATTGAGCATCTTTGAAGGCAGAAGTTTCCAACACCATTGCTAGAGAGAAAGATGAAAAAGCTTAAAATGAAATTAAAAAACCATAAGTTTTTCATTTCAATAACTGTGCTTTGTCATTCAATATAATAAAGTAAAATAGCTTATTTATCCAGTGACGAGGGCAACTTGGGAGAAACTGAGTCATCACCTGTCCCTTGAGAGATCAAATCCAGAAATCAAGACTGGTATTTTAAAACTTCACTTTTCCTAGCCTAAAAAAAATTTAATGTGTAAGTGCTATTTGGTAGGATTGTCTAAAACCAGAATTATAGTTGCATCTTAATCTAGGCGTCCGTGTTGGAAATTCAATAGCAATAAAATTGAGTTGAAGAAAATCACACTGCATAAAAACTGTCTGGAGCTCCACACTGGTTAGTAAACCAAATTAAGACAGTTTTTAATTTACCTACTGAGCTGTATATGGAGCCTATTCTGCAACTATTCTGTGTCTACGGAAAGCAGCAGAACTATGACTAGCCTAATTATTAGCAGTTACCTGACTGGACATAACTGGTCTGAAAGGGAAACAAAAAACTTAGTGCATAATAAATAATTTCATCTTTTTTCCTATGAACAGTTAGGAGGAAGTTACATTTCCCTCTCTTCCATTCAACGAGCAACCAGCCTGATTAAGAGGAAATTGAATTTACAGCCATCTTAACCAGGCAGATATTTAGAAGGACACCATTAACTCCTTTGCTACCATCATCACGTGTTCACTTAAATGGTAAATGCAGTAGTTTCTTCCACTTCATCCACGTAGAAATATTCCTCAGAAAGGAATTATAATGTACAAATATTATCCATCCAGATGGACTTGACATTCTAACACTGACAGCCTACTGAGAAACATAATGAAATGGCAAAGATGCTCCATGATTACAAGGATGGCACAGCAGCCAGTGGAGTGACAAAACAGCCCTTCCAAATCCGAGCTAGTGAGGGAAAAAAATTACTTTTCAAGTTTTTCTAACAGTGAGTATATCTTGCAGTAAATATACTCTTGCATCTGGGTACTATATTTGTTATTAAGGTCCATGATTTTCACATAAAGTTCCTTAAAGAAGTAGATACTATCACTAAACCATAGTTTTGTTCCAGCAGTATCTGATGATTAGATGACTGAGCTTTATACATGTCATTGTGTATAATTAAGCTACAGTAATCAGATTCCTTCTGAAAACCCCTACCACTAGCATGACAACACCAAAGCACGCAGGCGTGGCAGGCTCAAACCTGTTTGACACACACATAACACCTGTTGACAATGACAGAACAGCATGTAAGCTCCCCGAAATACATTCTTATCAAACCCCATTTCATTACACTTGGGGTTTCATGGCTTTTGCCAGTAGAGTGACTTCCATGTCCATGCGCATAAACTTTAGTGAATATTGAATGTACTTTTGCAGAGAGAAAAGACTAAAATTTACAAGCACCCCAAGACTGACACTTGCTCCTTTCGTATGTATTCATATAAATCTGTTTTGGGTGAATTCGTTTAACAGGAACATTTTAACTTGTTCCTGAAACTCCTGACCAAACTGAGTCTTCTTTGGGCCCTCACCCAAAAAACAACTTCCCATTCACCAAGCCAACAGATGTTAGAACTACAAATGTGCAAGAACATTGGTTTCCTTTGTGAAAAGACTACTTCAAAGAAAGTGTAATAAGTGCAATCTTCCTTTCTGGAAAGCTAACTACTGCCATGCCACGGCAGCCTGACAGGCAGGTCAGAACCAGAGGCAAATGTAGCCTTGACCAGTAAATCACGCTATTATCATCACATCAGAAAGGAATCTAAATACAATCACAACTCAAACTCAACATTCTTATCAGTAAGAATAATGGAGTAAATCTATACTGACCAAGTGAGCTAATCTGATAAAAAAGTGACCGCCTTCACTGACTACACTCCACAGGCTAAACCATCTGCCTACCCACAGAGTCTGCCTTCTGTTTCTCCTGTGCTTTTCTTTTTTGTCCTACAAGTTATCTGAAAACTGAAAGCAACACAAGAGATGCATACACAGCGTACATTTTCAGAAATTCTTTAGTTTCTGCCCACTAGAATATAAAACTGGAATAACTGACATGTCTTGATATCTGCTTAGGGATATTTGTGACAGGTAAAATAACACTTATTATCTACAGGTTTCCTACCCAGCAACTTTCTTTCTAGTCATCGCTACTTGTGAAGTGCACCGTTGCTAAACGAGCTATTTACAAATGTAAACTATGTAATTAAAGTTTTAAAATAAATAGACAACCTTTACATTAGGTAGCAACTTGACAACAAGGTAATAGATCATCCAATTACATCTTTCAAAGAATGATCTGTGTATGCTGCTCTTTTTTTTTTTTTTCAAATTTTTTTTTTTTTTTAAGAAAATCCTTGGCTCTCAAGCTATTCTGCAAGAACCTCCTCGGTTTTCTTCCTTTATGCTGGATAATTGTGTAAAAACTCCTTAAGTTTTGTTGGATAATCTGTCATCACTTTTTTTTTCAAATTTTTTTTTTTTTTGAAGAAAATCCTTGGCTCTCAAGCTATTCTGCAAGAACCTCCTCGGTTTTCTTCCTTTATGCTGGATAATTGTGTAAAAACTCCTTAAGTTTTGTTGGATAATCTGTCATCACTCCGGTTGCTCCCAGATCAAACGCCCTCTTGTATTCTTGTTCTTCATTCAGTACCCAAATATACACCTGTAAGGGGAGATAAAGACAAATTATTATGGGAAATACTCAAATTTTTTTTTAAAAAAAAAGGTGACTCTTGACCTAAATTGTTTCATGTGAGAGACATGATGGCACATATATTTAAAATTATAAATGATGATGACACTGTGATGCCAAAGACATGCACACAAACATATCCAACCACTCCCCCCTTGCCCTCCTAAAAGGGGCATTTTCTAGAGGTGACTCCACCCCCATTTCATTGCAGATACTTCCACCAGTCAAAATATTATTTTGTGAAAAGCCCAAAATAGGTAAGCAGTTTAACAGATTTTGTAGGCTTAAGTCTGAAGTGGAAGAAAAAAATAATCTTAAGGGGATTTAAATTAAAGAGTCTTCTTCCAAGCACACAATTCCTCCTTTGCAACTACTGAACTGCAAATATAACAGCATAAACTGGCAACACAACTGAAGGTGTTGGGGAGAACATGAACCCATCTTAAGGCTGGTTCAAATTCTCACTAGGTTCAAAGCACATCTCCTTTAGCTTTGCCACACTGTACCTGAATGCCCCGAGCAGTGAGGTGGTCAAAAAGTGCTTTCCGCATTAGCAATCTGCAGAAAGGAGAACAACATCATTTAAGAACTCAAAGTATATATGAATTTTTCAATGTTTGTTGGTGTTCTATAATAAGTTTTCCATACAGCATTTAGATTCATTTTTTTTCCACAAGAAAGTCATTAGAAACCTCATTATAGAAAACTTTTAGTTCAAGCAACTCAAGGCTGGTTAACACAGATACCCAGAAATGGATATTTGCATCAACTTTGCTGAAGATCAAACCCAGCAGACGACTCCTTCAGTTGCCTCTGAAGCACAAATACTCTTAAAATGCTATGTGTTCCACGTGAGCCAAACAGTATTTCCTCTGACAACACTATGAAACAGTCACAATCCCATGAAAAGTCACACTCTGAATCTACTTGCAGGCTAATTAACTAAACACACTTAACGACACAAACTAAATAGACTAAATTGGAATAAGGCCCACTGTTACCGCACCTCAGTATGTTTCAGCATGAAAAATAAAAGCATCCAGGAACACCTATGTAAGATGTGGATATGATTTATGCTGTGCTGACAAAAAAGCTAGAAGAAACTGAAAAAAAATTGCAACATACCAAGTAGCTGTAGCAATACCTAGTCTTAGTTGCTTGAGCCAACTGTTAATACAGAGGCAAAATATAAATAAAGATTTAATAAGAATAAAATCTTACGTGTCAGCTAGCCAGATAACAAATTTCTGGCTTCTTGTAATCTTCTGAGGTTCTTTCAGCCTGTTGAGGAAGAGGAAACAAAAAATTACCGGAGCACAGCTTGAAGTATTATTTGAGATGTTCCTGCAAAAGGAACACGAAGAATTAATCTTGCAGTTTCTCAAATTAGTGCAGTAATTTCACTGTGTAAGACTGTGACTTAGAATTGGGTTACACAAGAGAAATGTGCTACATTTAAGAGAAGCAGCAGCAATCTCCTTCAAAAGAGAGGGAGGAAAGGGCAAAAATTAGCTATTTGTAGAGCACTGCTACGTATTACTACCTAACAGCATCAGCACAAGCTCCTTTGTAAAGGCAGCTGCATGAAGACAGTATTTACAGGAGATGCTATAAACAGGAAACATCAATATACACAAGTGAGGAAGTCGGAGCTGGCAAGAGACAGGTTAAACACAGAGGAGCAGATTTGCACAGCTTTCTCTTAGGAATATACAAAAGTGCCTAAACTAACAAAATAGTATCCTCAGCCTGAGGATAGCGACTAAACCAGTGCCCAAGCTACCACTTCAGTGCAGCACCCACCGGCAGACTCTCACTCACTTGAGGATGATGGAAGGCATGGGAATTTCCAAGAATTCTTCCTTGAAAGGAATGAATGGCAGCAGACCTGTGTAGAAGAGACCAAGAAGCAGGAGGACACGTTGCAGACAGAAGATGATGGGAATGTCAGCGTTCTGCAGGAACCGGGAAAGAAAGACTTTAAATTATCTTGGTAGATTGTTGAGACTGTTGCAATTAAATTTACTCATCAATGCATTAAAGTTTAGCACTTGCACCTAAAGATTAGGCTGTCAACTCTTTATTGTAGACCTGACACTGAATTTAAATTACTCTTTCAGGTAGCTTGTAATCCAAGGTTTTACACAATTTGGAGGGGCACTGGGACCTGGAAGGGTAAAGTTTCACTGTCACAGTATTGCTTTTGTTACCTGCCTTCATCACCTTTCCAGACTGCATCCCACTACGCAGCATTTTCTCTTAGATTAGTATTACCACAAAGAACAAGCTGTGCTTTAACACAGCATTTGTTACAGTTTGGTATCACAGGAACTCACTTCACAACACATTTTTAAAGATGCTGTTTATGCACCAAAATATCTGGGCGTTGATGCTATGAAAATGAACAAATGTAACTGCTGTTCAGGTAGGAAATGGTGCACTGTCCTACACAGATAAATCAGAACAGTATCTGTACTCTCAACTAGATCAATTTCACTCAGATGCGTAACTCCTTCCGACTAAGCACAATTTTAATTTAATTCTAAATTGTACAATTCCTCTGCACAAAAAGGAATAGAATCTGTAGCTGTAAAATAGCTTTATATTAATATAACGGTGTGTCTACTAGTGGCCACATCCATTATTTTCATTAAAAAGAAACACACAATAAGCAACCCTTAGAAAAATTGCTTTTGTACCAGATGAATGATGTGCAAAACAGGCTCTAAGAGTTCCTGGCATAGAGTCATAACACCCTATATTTTATAGAACAAGAATAAAACATGATGAAGTTTAATTCCTCAAGTGTTTTATTGCAGAGTATATGGGTGTTAACTGTGCTTGGTTTATTGTAATGGTGTAGGAAGCAGAATACAACCTAAGTGTAAAATCTCCCGTCACATCAGAAAGCCTGGCATTGCTGGCTGGATCTGGATTTGCAGGGTGCTTTTCCGTGTATTTTATTGCCACGCAGTAACAAGCAGGCAAGAATGAAGCTTAGCTTGGGCTCCTTCTTACCTCCTTAAGACACTTGGATACAACCTCATAATTTGCATTCCCCCATACCGTCAAGTGCTCTCGCTTATACTGACTCACCAGCTCAGAAACCTGCAATATAAAAAAGCAGAACGCTAACGTGTATTCACTGAAAATTATTCAGCAGCATTATATAACTGGAAATCTACTTGCTCTACATAATTCCTACTCCACCACAGTCGTTACAGAAAAGATAGCTCTTCTGTACACTCTCCCAACTCAGGATGATTGTGCTGCTTTGACTGGGAAGAAACAGGCGTTCAGGTCAACAGATACAAGGGAAGAGCATTACACCTACAAAAAACCCTACATAGCTTAAGCAAACTAGATAGCAAAGTAGCATCTGAGAGAGAGCAGATTTTCTCTTTTTATCTTTACACTGACACCATGTTTTTATGCTGCTTTGGTAGGCAACGGTCCATAAGAAGACACCCCGGTGTGAAGTACAGAACAAACACATCTCTAGTAGCATAGTGTCCAGTTCATGTCAAAATAAAGGGTCAGTAAAGAGCTGTTTGCTGAATATCTTGTACAAAATCACTTCTCCACCTTCTGTATTACCTAATGCCCCATCCCTGGAGGGGTTCAAGGCCAGGCTGGATGGGGCTTTAGGCAACCTGGTCTGGTGGGAGGTGTCCCTGCCCAGGGCAGGGGGTTGGAACTCGATGATCTTTGAGGTCCCTTCCAACTCAAACCATTCTATGATTCTATGATCCACGGAGCAAGATCTAACATATGAAGGATGAAGCACTCCAAGGACACAGATTTTAGTGCCACAGACTGCTAGCAACTCCAAGAAACTTTTCTTTTGGAATTTCAACATCATTTACATGACATTCAGTCTCAGCTCAGTGTAGATTTTCGTGTACCTTTCTGATCAACACATTGTTGTTCACTTTGATGTCAATGTTGACGGGAGTTTGTGGAAATGCCTCAAACACCTCTTTCAGGAGCGGAATACGGTTGTCTTTTCCCTCACAGTGACATTCTGGGGAAACGAGAACATTGATGCTTTTGTGACCACTTTTAATACACTGCAGATAAAAGCTGAGATGTCAGAGCACTTAAAAGTGAAAGTAATGTATAGTTCCCATAATCAGCAATTTTTTAACTAAAAAAAAATTTACTTCACTCAGAGAGTTGCAATTAATTATGATAAGCTCACTTCTGCTAAACGTAATGTATAGTTCCCGTAATCAGCAATTTTTTTAACTAAAAAAAAAATTTACTTCACTCAGAGTGTTGCAATTAATTATGATAAGCTCACTTCTGTAATGAAAATGCTGTAAGCATACTGTATGTTCAGCTTTGAACTTCATAAATTCAGACATTCTTTAGCAACAGTAGGAGTGCAGTCATCGTTAAAATCTCAAAATAGCAAACATGGGCTCAGTTACCACGTACCAAATGCAATGAGATTAATATGAAATGAGACCAAGTGAGAAAACCTCATCCTTCTAGGAAAATTTACTGGAGAAGCATAATGAGTAAATGGAACAGAAGACACACCCCCCAAATTTTATTGCCTGAAACGGCTTGTGGCTCCAGGGAGTTAACTGAAGATGATCATCCATCTCTTTGTAGTATTGTACATGAACAAAATTTGTATTATTGTGCATAAACAGAAGATATATACACATGAAAATAACATGTCATGGATCTCCTCTTAGTGCATTTTAAGTATTTTGCAATTTTGAAAAGAAAAGTTTAACACAACATTTCCTTGCTGGGTAATTCGAATACGGGTAGGCTACACAAGATAGCTACAAAGGCCCTCGAGCAAACACACCTGATATAATTTCCAGAAGCCTTTTACAGGTGGAAGTGCTCTCAGTGTGCTTTACTCAAATCACAGTCCCACAAATCATATTTTTCATAAGAAAACAGGTTACGTTTTTTCTAGGTTTTCCTCTCTTGCAGCAAGATTGCTACTCAACTTTAAGCTATACAGAGTAACTATGACTCTTTGCATTCACCCCTCTGAAAATGTCTGTATTATCTGACACCTTGTAGTACTTCAAGCCCAGAGTGCACAAGCACAATGACATCAGAGTTGTAAAACAACTCTCAGCCTTCTCTTCATTTTTGGAACAACAAATTTTCAGTCAGTACTCTCTGAAGACCTCCCATGGGAACTGAAAAGCAGCTGTATGAAGCAGACAAGCAAATAATTGAAATTTTACTTGGAGAAAGATATCTTACATCTTAAACTTAGTCACTGTCAACCAGTATGGAAAAAAAGCATATCTTGGTTTCTAAAGCTAGGATTATATTTTCCTTTTAAAACTTCTCTTATCAAAAAGGAAAAAAGCATATTTTGGTTTCTAAAGCTAGGATTACATTTTCCTTTTAAAACTTCTCTTATCAAAAAATTGCCACACTATAATAATGGAAAATTAGTTACTGCAAATTGAAACAGCAAAAGACAAAAACTTACCTTTCTGAAACGTGACATCCAACTTGCAGAGATATGGTGGAAGTTCCTTAAAAATAATGGGAAATGGAACACTAATTCAAATGCAGGGATATAATCATGCCTTCTCTCAAAAAATACAAAAAAATATAATCCATAAGCCTTGCAAGTTATCTTTGAAGACAGAAATACTATTTTTTTGGTAAATCTTCTTGCCCAAAATGTGATTTAGAAGCAACATGTTTATTCTTACTTGAACTATTTGGCATTCTTAGACTTGAGTTACCTGTAGCTGAGTGAAGCAACGTTTTTCCAGATGCCTGTCCATAAATTCTGAGAATTCCACTTAAATATCAGATGGAAAGGCAGTTCTGTAAAAACTGTCAATGCTGGTGGGGTGCATCTACCCGTTTTCCCATGAAAAAGCTGGTCATGCAAGAAGGAGCTTGTTGATGAAGCTTCCTTTATCATCAGTATGGCAACACAGGCCCACCTCCAGAAAGCTATTCATCCAGCCCACTACTGGATTGGTTAATCACCCTCTGGAAATGTGCCAGGTTTTCTCCGTGGACTACACAGTTAACCTAGTTAACCTTTTTTCAGTCAGACAAGGTGAATCCCCTCCTTAGATTTTGGATACTAGCTGAACACACACACACGCGCGCGCAACCTTCCCCGGCCACTCTACAAACACATTTTTAAACATCATCTAGCACTAACGTTCATTCTTCAACTTACAGAGTATTTGAGGTCGGATATGTTGACATCAACTCCTGTTGATCTCTTCAGGTTCTCATCATGGGACACAACCACTTGCTCATCTTTCGTCAGGTGACAATCCAGCTCCAACATGTCCGTTCCTAAATTAACCGCACTGGAAGCAAAGAAGTCTGCCTTGAACCACACACATAGCTCATTCAGGTCCAAACCTAACACATACATGTTATTCAACCAAACTAATCTCAGTGAGGGTACTTTAGATGCTTCATGATGCAACGGATCCTCACAATCTTGCTGCAAAGCCAGAAGCAAGTAAGGCTGCTGCAGTGGGAAAGCTGATGCAAGAGCAAACAACGTATCACAAATCAGAGATGGGATTTGAACTCAGGAGCTTTGGCTCTGTCTTCCACAGAAATCCAGCAGCACATCTGTGATTGCAGCCTTCCACCTCAGGATTGAGAAACCTACTTCTAACCTACTGTTGCAGAATTTTGAGTGTGATGTTTATTAGTTTCAGCATGTTTACCATTGGAAGAAGCGAGCTCTTTCAAAAAAGTAATCAATTCTGTGGTAAGCATAACCATCGAACAACAGAGATGTGAAAGCCTTTTCTTAACTTAAGTTAACCAAGAATGGATAGATCAGGAAATTAGCAATGGGGCTTTCAGGCTTTTGGCTAGAAAAATTACATTTAAAAAAATATTTGTTATTATTTTAAGGAAAAGTTTTATTTAAAAAAAAACAACACTAAACCACCCAGCCATATTTTTCAAAGAAAAATAGCTATTTCTGTTTCAATCCACTGCTTTGAAAAGTTCTAATCCAATCTCAAATCCACTCTACAGAAGCTTAGCTCACAGGAGGAGGTGTAAAAGAAAGCAGAAAGTAGTAATACTACTAATGAAAAGTAAGTACACGAAGCATCAAACCAGAACACAAAAACTAAGCTTTACTCCAACAAGTAGTGAATTGTTCATTTCACTAGGAAAGATACTCAGAAGGTACCATTCCAGCAGACAGCTAGAAGTCCCAGCCTGAAGTCTGAACACTTCCTGCAAAACACTGGGCTGTTCTTTTCATCCACCTACAAACAAACCTAGAAGACCTGTGAGTACAGTCTATACTGGACCCAAAGCTCTAAGACTTCAGTAACAGCCTTTTCCTTAAGAAAAAGGCTTTATCGACTGCTGAAATACAGACATGCCATAAACATTCACAAATGCAATAACAAAAAAAAAAAAAACCAAACCCAAACCAACCATACTCCCATAAGTGTTTAACGTAATTTCTGGTCCAGCTGGGATAATGATCAAGAAGGGGGTTGTCAAATTAAAACCAATTTGTTAACTGTTTTCCAGTGCCACTAATTAAGAATTAGGCGAGGAACAAAATCCTATTACATGTGGAAGATACAGCCTGTTCTGTGTAATTTTCCCTCCTGAGGAAAAGCATCTCCAAATACGCTACAGGAGATTTGCCAAATTTGTAGATGAGTGTTCCCATCTAGTACCATGTATTCTCTTTTAACCAGCATAATTTATTAGAAATATTACCACTTGAGAAACTCTGGACTGATGCTGCATAGAAAAAGGAGAACAACAACTTGCCTTGTTAACAAATTTGAGAATCTGCCAGGCTCTTACTAACAACTTGCTGCTAAATAAGGTTTTTTAAAGTGCTGAGGGTTTTTTTTCAGCTGAAAATCAGGCTTTTTTGCAGTTCTGTAGCAACGCATCAAATCTAGATCACTCCACAGAAGACTCCAGATGTTCTCCAGATTCAGAAGAATGTGCTGGGTTCAGATCCAACTGCTCCAAAACTTAAGTTTTGAAGCAGGCTCACATTTGCAAATTAGGATGCTAGAGCTCTGTTTGTGTTTAACTGTTTTCAAGTAAAATGACATACCAGGAAATACATAAGAAAAGCCTTACCTTGGGAAATAAATTCTATTAGGCAGTGTCTAACGTAGCATTATGAAGAGTTTATAAGTACAAAGTTGATCAGTACTTTCACTATGGTAACTACAGTGTTTAAAACGTTCTCTCTAAACAAAGTATGTTCATAAAAGAAGAGGAAATACAATGAGAAATTATCTGAAGAGTTTATTTAGTAGCTTCCTGTCAAGACAATGCTAAAGTACGTGGCTGCATTAGGAACAATTAAACTGTTAATTAAATTCTTATGACATCTTTTTTGTCAGACCCCCAAATATTTTAAGACACTGTTGTCTCTTTTAGCTTAGAATCAGTTATTTTAAAATCTGAATCCAGATTAGGGGTAGGTTTTATGCTGCAGACAAGCAATCTCTTTTGGATTCACCGACATCAATGGTCAGACGTGTCTGCTTGTCCAAACCTGCAGGAGCAGCTCTCACAGGCATGCCCAATTTGGCTCCATCTGATGGGTTAGAAATTGATTAGTTCATAACAGCCGCCTGAGCCAATCCAGATAATCTTTCACCATGCAGATCACCAATTTTCTACCCAATTCCTTTTGCTAGCTTACCAGGAATGAGCAGATGGGAAGGACAAAGCCTTTATCCCTCCACAGAGGAAGCCAGAACACCTTCTACTGCCTAACACAAGGGAATCACTCTGGCTGTGCTTTTCTGCAGAAGTAATACACCCTTGTTATTCAGCCAAGATAATCTCAAACCAAGTAATGAACTTTGCTATCGGCAGTTGAGATGAGTTCGAAAAGTGGACCTCAACACATTTGCTACACTATGGTTGTAAAATAATTAAAATGGTCAGAAAAGAGACAAATGTCTGTATTTTCACAAAACATGATTTGACTCCCAGTACCACAGCTTACTTCTGGGAATAAAAATAGGTCATGGTAAAACTTTATAAGAGCACTATACATATAAAAACAGTATAATACTAAACAAACAAAAATTAAGAAATGGTTAAAAAAAAAAAAAAAGCAGCACTTCCCAGAAACTGTGGTAACAGACTTGAAAAAAGGCAGGCCAGCAGGAAAAAACCACAAAACTATGCTAAGCTTCCATGGAGATAGAAAATACTGCAGTACTTTCAATAGCACTGTTTGGTTGGGAGAGCTGGCACTCCTCAGCCTGCAAGGAAATGTGCAAACTGATGAGGCTACTTAGCACAAAGCAAATTAAAAAACCTCAAACACCACAAAGAGAAGCCTGCATAATTCGGTCACTGCTCGTTGGCAGCTGGAGTTTTAGATATGCTGCTTTTTCAAATGCCTTTGAGGACCTTGTTAGAATTCACTACTTAAATGCTGGAGGCTTAAAAGGCTTTCCAGTACCAACTCAATTTTAAACCCCTAGATAAGAGGCTTTCACACACTGTGCAAATGAAGTATGTATATGAAAGGGGAAAAAACATAACACTAACATTTTTAGTAGCTTTACAGTCGGTGCATTAAAAGTCAGTTAACATTAGGATTTCAGTCACAATAATTCTAGGAGACAAATTATTAACTTTATATAGAAAGGAGGGAACTGCATGCTATGAAACTGAAATATCTAAGAGAACTGCTTACAGCTGTAATAGCAGTCAACAGATTCAGACTTGCTGAAATCCAGTCTTGTGTACTAATTAGCATATTGATATAGGCTACAATCTGAAATACATTGATGTTTCTCAAAGGTATCTATTAAAAAACAGTGTATGACATTAGCTATGAAAAATAGCTTTATAATGAGAAATAAACTAATGGAAGTAACCGCCGTTAAACATGGAAGCAGTATTGTTTCACGTTTTGTTAGCTAGAACAGGAAGAATCAGGCCTCAAGAGTTTTATTTAAAATTGCCAATCCACCATATCACTGTGTACAAACCACAGTTTGCAGTATCCCAATTCCTTCTTGTTTAAATTGGAGTAATTTAGCAATCCACAGGAGTCATCCAAAGGGGAGATGACTTTCAGAAATAAGACACTGTACCCCAAACACCTGACAGAAGCCCAAACTTTCTTGATTGCTTCACTCACTGAAGACAAATGAGAAAAATGCTGCTTTAGGCATTAGTTGTTCCATTGGTACTCACTGGTGAAAGGCTGCCATCGTGTTTTCCAGGTTCTCTCCAGCACCTACAAAAATAACAAAAAAACTAGAACACGTACAAAATTCTTTTCCTCCCCTCAATCCCAGTAGAAAGAAATAAACAAGGATAAAAAATTTTGTATATTTTGAGGAAACGTTTGTCAGAAATCCCTGTTGCCACTAACCTACTGGGAAGGCCCAAGAGACAGAGCTTTCTCAAGGTAAAACAATTAAAAAAAAAAAAAAAAGAGAAGACTTATCTTGGATTTGTATAATACTTTGAATATACAAAACGAAGTGTTTATTTTACCAGAGGTTGAGTGCCCTGTTTTTCCTTAAAGGTGTTGTATTTGGCTATGACACTATGCTCCACAGGCACAGGACAGTCTATGCAAAATTCTACTTCAGAGTTAGTGGGAGGAGTAATAAAAGGAGAGGTAACAAGAGGGCAAAAAGAAAAAGAAAAAGAAAAAAACCCCACACAACCAAGAAAAAAAAAAACCACTGAAGACTCTCTAAAGCTGATATTCCCTAAACACATAACCCAGTTGATGCTCAAAGAGGTGACAACCTCTTTTTTCAGTGCAAGGATACTTCCTGAAACAGCACAAATCTGTCAATAAAGGTTTATGCTGCTGGCAAAGGGAGGTCTCATACACAAGGAATGAAACACACATCAACTCCAGTTAAAAAATGAAAGGACAAGCAAATTTAATTTTCTCTCAGGCAGGAGTAAACTCTGCAACTCTTAAGCCATCATTCTCTACATACAAATCTTTGAAATCAGCCTGGAAAAGGTTGTGCCTTCTCTCTCCTTCAGAAAATATGCAATGTTACATACTGAAAACCAAAACAACTTCAGGAAGACACATGTACTGATGAGGATATCTATGCAAATTTTAACTACTCTTTGACAGTGATGAATGGCAGGCTTTGTAAACAACAATTATAAAAGCTTCAACTAAGGCCTTGCCTATTAACAAGACACTACCAGTACATACTTACCCAAGTCTGTGTTTAGTTACTTAATTAAAGCCACGCAATTCTATGCACGCGCAACTAGCAATTGAAAATTTGTTGTTATTGGGGTAACTTGCATCGGTAGGTTTACAAAATGAAAGACTTAAAAGACTTTGTCATCACAATGACAAAATCTGCAGGGTTTAACATAGCCCAATACGGTAAGTCCACAGCACCTTCTGTGATTAGACATTTACTGATATTTTATGGAATTTGATTGCAGAACTAGGAACAGGCTGAGTGGCAAAAGCGACTGAGGGATAGAGGAGAGCATGAGAACCTCATCATATACTTCTGATGGTCATCTAACAGATGGGAAAAACCTGCGTAGGACCTGGATGAGTAGTTGTAAGTTAACTGCAATAAAAATGGAGGTTTTAGATAACTTATCAACTCTGACAATACATCCCCCCATACATCCTGAAAAGTAAAAGAGATGAAAAGAAATTAGTTGGTCTTCAAACTGTGAACAAACCAACAGTATCCTCACATTCCTGGGCAGAAATTTCCAGAAATAAAACTTTAAGTGACTGATCTAACAAGACACGTGTTAAGGAGGTAGGTATGGTGAGTCAAACCAGTTGGCAACAAAACGCCTGACTCGTAGTGTTTTGGGGAAACGCAGAAAAAACTTGAGATATCAGTTGAAACAGGAATTCTAAATCAGCAATGTGGCTTTTCACAAACCACACTCTGAAAAGGGAACTATGACAAGCAAGTGATTTGATGTACTAAGTCATCTTCCCTCCTTAAGAATAAAAAGGCTGGGCTGACTGAAGGGCTTCTGACATTTTATTTACTTAAACGCACCCCTGGATCCACACATTGTCCATTTCTGTTGTGAACTACATGCATTTCCCACCCAGAAATCACCTTCCCCAGCATACTTTAGCATCCTGTGGCGAAGGTGGCCACATCCAAAGATTACGATTGTGCACTCTAACTTTGAAAGGACCATGACGGGACAAGAGGGAGTCAATGTCAAGCACTGCATCAAGAAGATGACCCTTAGAAGTTCTGTTGTTTTGGGTTTTATCCTGTAACACAGGCAAAGAAGCCCGTTAGGAAGAACATTGTCAGCAGGTCAAGGGAGGTGACTGTTCCCATCTATTCTGCACTGGTGAAGCCACACCTGAAGTCCTGTGTCCAGTTCTGGACTCCAAAGTACAAGACAGACATGGATTTACTGGAGCAAGTCCAGAGAAGGGTTGTGAAAATTAAGGAATGAGAGATTCTTGCATACAGTGAGAGGCTGAGGGTGCTGGAATTGTTTAGCCTGGAGAAAAGAGGCCTGGGAGGATCTTACCAACATGTATAAATACTGGATGGGAGGGAATAAAGAAGACTGAGCCAGACTCTTCTCAGTGGTGCCCAGGGAAAGGACAAGAGGCAATGGGAACAAACTGAAATACAGGAAACTCGGTTTATAAACATATAGGAAAAAAAATATTTATATTTTTTTTTTAGAATGATCAAACTCTGGAACAGGCTGCCTGAAGAGGTTGTGGAGCCTCCATCCTTGGATGTATCCAAAACCTAACTGGACAAGGTCCTGATCAACCTGCTCTAGTTGCTTCTGCTCTGGTCAGATGAGACAATTTCCAGAAGTCCCTTCCAATCTCAACTATTCTGTGATTCCATAAAAATCATCATGCTACCCTGTCTCAAAGACCCTGTAATTCAGTCCATGCAGTGGGCACAGAGTCATAGAATTGTCTAGGTTGGAAGGGACCTTTACGATCATCGGATCCAACCATCAGGCATTGACAGATCTCTAACACGGAATATCAAGACTTAATTATTGATCTCAGAAATGACCAATTTTAAAATTATGCAGAAATGAAGAAATAATTCAGGGATGCTTCCACTGGTGAGCTATAAACTGAAATAAGGAAATTCTTGCACGAAGAAAGAAGTAAAATCAAACCCCATAAACTTAAAAAACTTCACATACAAGGCTTCCTCTCAGGAAGGAAAAAGCCAAACAAATCAAGTGTTACCTTGATCTCCAGAGTTAATAGGAGTAATGCAATAGGAAACCTGACGCTGAGTCTAAAGCTACAGAATGACTAAAGCCTGAATTCAAGTCCCGCAGGAACTGAAGTTACAAAGTAAATACTTAGAGAGTAAAGGGTAAGCAATCTTCAGTCTCATGACACCTGACGAGCAAGAAGCTGCTGAGATGTTAAAGTTTGTACTTCTACCATAGGTGTATATCCCAGCATATATGCCAACACAGAACAATTTGAAGTCCGTGGACTTTGTCTCGGAACGCCTAATGAATAATCCTCCCATTGAGCAAGGCTTTCCTGTTGTTCTAATGGAGCTTAGTGCAACTGGCCCAAACACACACATTCTAGGCTTCAGGCTGTGTATCTTAACCAAGGTCATTGCAAAGAAGTGAGAAGAAAAGAAGATTAAGGAGATCATAGCAAGTTCCAACAAAGTCATCCGCAAGTTTTTAATAGCTTGCAAATTAACAAACAAACAGGTAACAATCAAAATTGACGACCTTTCCTTGTTGAATGGAAATACATACCTACCAGGAAACGGCTAATATGCACATTCCAAACCAAAAGGGGCATTTTATGCTATACTTAAGGCCATAGTTATAAAGAAACTTAATCTGTCGTATAAATGGAATGAAAGAAATTCAAGTAATGAAATCTATAAGAGATCAGCTCTAGTTTTTATATTTTAATAATTCAAGGCAGTAGTAATAGTTAAGGACCACCGGCTAGAACTGTGATCAGACAGTGCATAAACTGGCACTAGATGTGACATTGAAAACGGCTTAAACTCAGCATCTGACACATCTCCCAGGGAATTTTGGGAAAAATATTAACTAGAAAACTGACTGACAATGTTTTCATTAATTGAATGGGGCAGCAGGGAAAAGAACAGGAAAATACGATTTGCTGTGGGATTTTTTTTCCTCCTCCCAGTGCTTTGGAAAAGGTGGTGGGGGGGGAAAAAACAACTTTAAAAACATCTTTTAGCTATTTTAGACAGAAGCCACCAGCCCACCCACAAGGCCCTGGCGCAAGGTGCGTGGAGATGTGACTCTGGAAACGAGATGGGTTTTACCAGGGCATCGAGGCATTAACTCCGGGGGGGGAGTCACAGCAAACGGGCATTTCTTCTAAAACCAGAAAAAAAAACAAGGCAGCGAGAGGCAAAGAGATCGATCCTTCGTACCCGATCCAAGCAACAGCCACCGCCGCTCTCGTTAGGAAGCGAAATACCACAATACAGAATGACTAGGGAGACAAAATATATCAGTTTGCGAGGGGAACCATCCGCGCAAAATACAGCTAATTTTTCGGGCTGAGGCGTTTTGAGTTGGGAGATTAATTCGGCTTTGAAATCAAGCACCGGTCAGCAGGTGGCACCTAAAATTAGGTTGCGGGAGGAAGGTTTAAAGGGAGCCGGCAGCCCCTCAGCACCCTCCGTCCGTCCGTCCGTCCCTCCCGGAGGGGCTCCGGCAGCGCCCGCCCGCCCCAGGCCTTGAGGGGAGAAGCGTCCCGAGGGAGCGGGGAGGCATCGCTGAGGGGAGACATCGCTGAGGGGATCCCCTCAGCGCCCGGAGCCGGGGAGGGAGAGGGGGAAGGAGGGCGGGCTGCAGCCCCCCGGAGCCGGCCAGCGCCTTCACCCGCCTGAGGTAAAGGGAGGGCGGGAAGCCGAGCCCTCTTTCCCCCCTTTCCCCTTCACTCACCGCCGCGGTGGGAGATGTGCCGGCAACGGAAGCGCTGCCGCTTGGGTCGGTGGAGCAGCCCCGGACATTTGAGGAGAAGCGCCGAGGTGAGGACGTATCCGCCCAGCGTGGAGAGCACGTACAGCGCGGCCGACATCCTGCGCCTCTTCGCCGGCTAAACCCCACCCCGCTCCTCCGCCCGGCCTCACCCGTCTTGTCCCGTCCCACCCCTCGCCTGGCCCGGCCCGGCCCGGCCCGCAGCCGGCTCCCAGCGAGGCGGCGGCGCTGCGGGAGCCGCTGCCA